AAGAGACAAATATTTTGGCCAGAGTGTTTTTTTTTCTTTTTAAGAGGAGAACAGACTATTACAATGTAGAGGATTTTCACTCATGCCTATGCATTTCACATAAAATATATCAGCACATTATAAATCTCATTGTTATGAAGAAATATTCACTCAAATGAGGTATTCCAGGTCCAAGCTATATTACACAGTTTCTGTTGTTGTTATTGTTTTTAATACCTGTACTCAGTAGACCCAAAGCCTGTTCCATACCCTGGGTGTCTGAATGTTTAGAAGTTCTCTAACCACTTAATAACTTCCTTGTTATCAATTCCATCACTTCCTCTCCTACTAAGTGTCTGCTCTTGCACGCATGTGCATGTGGGTATGTACACGTGCAAGAGTGCACATACACAGACACAAAGAAACTAGGCTGTTTGACTTCTTTTCTGGGTAGCCTACTGGGATGATGATTCCAGAGCTCAAACATTCAGCAAACAAAATGACAGCACTGTGGCTTCTCTACAGGGCCATTTGCAACCTCTCAGTGGATGAAGAGTATCCCATCCCCAAAAGCTCCTGGGAACTATATGTCTGAAAGAATTATTCCCTCCCTTCTGCAAACATGTGCCTTAGACTCAGGGTCCAAAACAACTTCTTCCTGCTTTCCTCCTATCCTTCGTCCTTTCTCCATGTTCTTAACTCAGTTATAAGGACAGAGAGGCCTGTTTGGACTTCAGTTCATATGACCTTGCATGGGTGGCCAGACTCTGCAGCTCCCTTGGCTCAAATTTCATTTCCAGCCCTTCACGCAGAAGGGCCTCGTGGCTCAGGAGGGTGGGAAACTGCACAAGGAGGTACTTTGCAGCTGCTCCCAGCTGCTACAAAATGCCGATTTCTCCTGATAGGAACCAAAAGTTCTTCTGTTCCGCTAGCCTCTCTGGTGGACTTGAAAAATAAGGCGATGATTATTAGGGGCCAGAAAACTTCAAATTTTGATAAAGTCGGTGGAGAACTAACTCCTAAATACCAAGCTAAGTAATCTTGAATCTTCTTGAATGTTAACGAGTAAAACAATTTAAGTGATATTGATCTCCGTTGAAATTAGCCAGTCTTACGAAAGAAAACCAATCAAAACATAGGAAATAGACGTGTGAGTATAAGAGGTTGGATAATAAATACTATCTTGTCCCAAACATTTATATGCATACATATATATAAACGTGTGTGTATGTATATATATACATAGTTATATATGTATATATAACTATGTATATATATGTATATAATTATATATATAACTATGTATATATATAACTATATATATAACTATGTATATATATGTATATAACTATATATATACACATACACTCACATAAAGACATACATATCTTTATATGCTTCATAAATACGTATCTTTTGTTGTAGGAGAAAAAAAGCACACCTTCTAGTTGGTGCAGATATACACAGGTAGAGAAAGGGGACGTTAAATTCTAAGCTCACCTGCTCTATAGTAGAGTCATTCGGTCTTGACTTACAGAAAAGATCTCAAAGTTTAGAAGCTAAAGAAATAGTTCCCTGCCTTCCTTTATGAACCTACCACACATACAATAGAAACGAAGACCATTCATTGCAAAGGATTGTTTTCCCATGACATGCAAGCCACAGACATTTGTTGTACTGATATCATGTCCGCTAAATTAAGTATTGTGGAATGTGTTTTAAACCCCATCAGGGTGGAGTTTCATATCCAGAAAACTCCACTGAAGCATCCTAAATTATCAAAATTAACAAATCTCCTGGAATGTTGTTTTACTTTTGTTTCATTTATTTTAAAGTAATATTAGGACATTTTAATTAATTAGAAACATTTCATTTATAGAGATTTTGAATAAATTCATTTTCTTTGCCTTTACAGTCAGTTACACTAGTCTTAGGATGCAGTTTATAAAGTACTTTATTTTGCCCAGAGTGAGAAATTTATTGAAACATCCTAGCAACAGGCATTTCTAACTCAAACTCATTCACCAAGGGATTGTCTCAAACTTTCTAACAGCAACAGATTTCTCCCTTTGTCAGGACAGTAGGGGGCACTGCCACTACAAATTATTATGACAAACGGCGAGATTTCACTGAGCAAAAAAACAAGGCTAGACATTTATGATTCTCCCATGTCAATGAGCATCTAAAAGATATTATACAGATTTTTCTCTTCCATAGTTTACTTCAGGGTGTAAATTTTGGGGCTCTCTCTCTCTCCTTCTCTCTTTTTCTCCCCCACTCTGTGTGTGTGTGTGTGTGTGTGTGTGTGTGTGTGTCTGTGTGTGTTAGAAATCCAATATTACAAATTTGAGGCTGACTCAAGAAAGTCTAACTGAACCCCTTATTATAAAATACTGGCTAAATACAAACTGCTAAAATGCACTTAATAGTTAAGTGGCATTCTGTGTGGGAGATTTTTTTTCAAGGTTAAGTCTTCAATCCTTCTCACAAACTTCAAACTCCAACTTTGGAGCTAAGATGAAAGAGAACTGAGGAAAAATTTCATTAAATAATCGCATAATCCAGAACACCATAGCTTGGATTTTTTTTTAAATAAAAGTTTTCTATGTAATTGAGTTAAACATAAATTCATACATCCAATTAAAAAAAAAATACATTGCAAATGGTAAAACAAAGACATTGCTCCAACACTTAGAAAATTAAATTTACCAAACCATGAAGTCTACTGTGCAGTTATTTTTGTAACCACCATAAATTGCTTTATAGAACTCCTCTGCTAGAGTAAACAATCCAAAGAGAGATTTACTTTATAGCATGCATCCAGTTTCCAAATGAGAGAGTGGCCTAAAGGTTTATGACTCTTCTCTCTCTCTCTCTCTTTCTGTCTCTCTCTCTCTCTTCTCTGTTTCTTTTCTATACTTGTGTTTTTAGTTATCTTGAAACCTTCCTTCTCTTACACAAGCTCAGAAAGGTCCACGGAAAATAAGATCCAGGTCTCTAGATATACTGTGCCCTCAAATACTCATTTCTGGAATAAGAACAATCCCACTTTGTGAAATAAAGTCTAGATGGTAAAATGAACATAAAGGGTTTTAGTACTAAATATTTCACCATATATAATAGCACCTCAGAGCCAGCCAAACATTGTCTTAGATATCCCAGGCAGTCAGCTTGAAATGTGTTCACTTATACACTATGAAGCTGAATTCAGTGCAAACTGCTATAGATAAGAGTTTTAGGGGTCTTTAATCACTTTTTTTCTTGTGTCCTTAATGGAAAAAACAGAGCTGCCTTTGTGCTAAAAAGAAGGACCTGTTGTTTCCAGATTCAACAGGTCATTTTTATAAGAACTTCCCAGAGGATACAACATAAATGACAGAAACACAAGGGAATTTTTTAAGTGGCCGATGATTTTAAATGATATATATTCTATATTAAGGAAGGTTGTTTGTTTTTCTTTCCAACAAATGAAAAAAGTGTTTAATGTTTGAATTCAACTTTTAGGACCAAATGTTTTCTCATGAGTTGGGTTACTGTAAATTCAGTTTCTGAAATCAGTCTGAGGGTGAGTTCGACCCCTCAAGTAAATAAACTTGTCAAATCATGTTCATTTCTGTTTTGGGAATGAATAGTTGATTTAGAGGGCTTTTAAAATATATTTAAATTTCGTAGTAACTTTGGTAATGTTTTAGTTAAAATGACAAGGAGATTGCACATTTAAAGAACAATATAAAACTATAAAATGGAAAATTCTGGCCATATGATTTTCCTTGCTCTCGGAGTAAAGAAAAAAGGCCAATATTTTATGGCAAACAAAATCCAGGTGACACTAGAATTTCTTAGAGTTTGGCTGATTCTATTATTAAAGGTGGTCTAAATTTAAGAAGACTAGCAAATTTAAGGTTAAGATCTAAACCAGACTTGTTTCCTAAACTGTATTGGGAGTTTTTTCACAATGAAACCAGCAACTCCATATCCCTCCCCTTTTTTTCTTCTTCTTTCTTTTCTATCTTTTCTTTCTCTTTCCTTCCTTCCTTCCTTCCTTCCTTCCTTCCTTCCTTCCTTCCTTCCTTCCTTCCTT